AGTTAAGGAAAATTTTATCACTGAGGGTATTTTGCTCCCTCTCTTCTGTGTACTTAATAATTATTGAGTAAGTATTATATTAAAAATAGACTAATTATTAAACATGAACTCTTTAGCAAAAAGGAGATATAAACATTACAGATCAAGGAGAAAAAAGAGTTGAGGAGAGGTGGGAAAGCAGGCATCTATTTCTCAAGCTACTCTTTTTGTTTTTTGGGGTTTTTTTTGGAGTCAGGGTCTCACTCTCTCGCCCATGCTGAACCTCCTGGTCTCAGGCCATCCTTCTACCTCAGCATTCCAAGTAGCTGAGACTACAGGTGCAGGCCACCACACCCTGCTTTTTTTTTTTTTAAATGAGATGAGGTCTGGCTATATTGCCCAGGCTAGTCTTGAACTCCTGGGCTCAAGCAATCCACCTGTCTCAGCCTCCCATGGTGCTGGGATTATAGACATGAGCCACTGCGCCCAACCTTTCTTTCTTTTTTTTTTTAAATTTCACCAGTCCCCCTTCCTAAAGCCACCAGAGATTGAGGCTACCTGTTTTACTCCCATTTCACTTCTTTAATCTATTTTTTTGTGGAAAAAGGGAAAAGGCTAGAGCAGAAAGGTCACAAACCACAATGTCATGGTGGTTTGTAGTTGGTTCCATCTCCATTGTGAGCAATTAATTATTGATGCAGAAAGAGTCCATATTGTTTACTGTCGTTTTCTTAGACACTTCCTCAATATAACAAAAGTGCCTATTAGTATCTCAGAGGTCTGTTGTGCTATGACAAAACATTTAATGTACTTTGTCCTTTTATAATTTTACAACAAAGAATATGAAAAAGCAATGTAATGCAGTCTCATAGACTTGATGTGTAAGTACGTAATAGAAATCACAAGATGGCTTTCTTGTTACATTTACTTAATGACTAGTTCTGAAAAGTATTTTCTATCTTCTGTCTAAAGTCGGATTTAGTCACACTGACTTCCAGTTAGGTGTTATGCCATCTCAGGCATTAGGGGCCAGGCTCTTCAAGAGTTAGTGGAAAGAAAGGCTAATAGTTTAAGTGGATAACACCAACAATTTTATATGCATAAATATTACGTTTAGAATATATTACACAAGCTTCCTTTGAACTCCACCATTGGACTGTCAAGGGCAGAACTCCATAGTCACCACTAAAGAAGTCTGGGGTCAATTCTGTAATGTATTGTTATCACTTTCTAGTCCAGTTTTGTTGTTATTTGGAATAGAGTTAGCTACTCTCTTTTACTCTACCAAGTGTGAGCAGGGACTCGATATTTCCCCTTGTCTGCATCTGAGTATTGCTAATGCTCCTGTAGGATTTTGTATATATTTTATGACTCTCTCTCTCTCTCTCTCTCTCTCTCTCTCTCTCTCTCTCTATATATATATATATATATTGCCCATTTTTATGTTGACTTAATTTTTTTTTTAAGAGATGAGGTCTCACTCTGTTACCCAGGCTGGAGTGCAGTGGCACAATCATAGCTCACCGCAGCCTCAAACTTCTGGGCTTATGCAGTCCTTCACTTCAGCCTCTCAGGTGGCTAAGACTACAGGTTCACACCATCATGCCCAGCTAATTTTTTAAATTTTTATAGAGATAAAGGTCTTGCTGTATTACCCAAACTGGTCTCAAATTCCTGGCCTCAAGTGATCTCCTGCCTCAGTCTTTCAAAGTTCTGGAATTACAGGTGTGAGCTACTACATTCAGCCTGATTGAATATTTTTATTCAGCACAGTATTTATTTATCCTGTATATGTGTATTTGTCATATTACTCCTTAAACTATAAAGCAAAGGGATTGAGATTATGTGATCCTCCATGTATAATTGGATACTCTTATTTATTTATTTATTTATTGAATTGGAGTCTCTCTCTGTTGCCCAGACTGGAGTGCAGTGGCACACTCCTGGCCACCACAGCCTTGACCTGCTGGGCTCTGGCAATCCTTCTGCCTCAACCTTCCAAGTAGCTGGAACTACAGGCATGTACTACCATGCCCAGCTAATTTTTGATTTATTGTAGAGACAGAGCCTCACCAAGTTGCCCGGGTGGATCTCAAACCCGCAGGCTCAGGCAGTCCACTTGCCTCAGCCTCCCAAAGTGCTCCCACCGAGCCTGGTCTTACTCTTTAATTAAACTAAAAAAATCTCTTGGAGAATGTAGATTTTCAAGATTTTCAGTGATGAAAGGAAGCTAACTTGTTGAGGTGTTGATAGATTAAGAAGTGGCAAGATTTCTAGGTATTTGGTGCTCTGGAGAAAGGCTAAAGGTCCACCTTTGAAATTATCCCATTGTTCATGGATAAGAAGTTCTGTGGTTAACTCTGTACTCGTTCCTGGTAGTTTTCTCACTATAGCAAAGAAAAAGGGTAAGGTAGTTGTTGTGACTTAGATGCATAAACTGATGTCACAGCACATTTCTCTTCCAACCCCCACCCTGTTTTGATCATGTGTCTATTGAAAAATAAATACCTTTTTGAACTTTAAAAGTTTAAACCAAAAACTTGGTGTTTCCAGAGCATTTCATTTGACAGACTTTGATTTTCTTACATTTCAATTTTTAATTGGGTATTCATTGTGGGTATATATTTACTTTTTTTTTTT